CTGAAGCAAGTGGACTTACAAAATTTCTATTTTCCTACTTCCCATATTTTCCCAGAAAAACAACCGAGTAAATAGTGTGACCTCTGGCTAGACTAGAAAAACTGCGGAGAGGTCAAACAAACATCTACTCTCCATCTTCTGATTTGTTTTTCCAGTACCCCAATCCCAAGGTACCATAATGTATTAGTCCGGGTACTTTAGAGAAACAAATCCACAGCAACTCATGTATAAGACAGTTTTATGTAAAGATTAAGTGTGCATCAAGAAAACATCCTAACCCAATGCTGCCCAAGCCCACAAGTTCAACATTAACCCATATGTCCAATACCAATCCACAAAGTCCTCCATCTCACAAAACAGAAGCAATGATGCCAACTGCAGGAGGAAAGCCGAGGGAGCTTCAAAAAGTTTGTGGATAATGAAATTAAAGAAAATTTTTCCACAAACTTTTTGAAAATTCCTTTGGATTAATGTGAAATTTAGTTTTAAGCCCCTTACCTAAGGTTCACAGCTTAAAAAAAAACCCTCTACACATTGACTGTATTTATAAGCCTGAAGAGGAAGATAATGTGATCATCATATAACTTTCATTAATCCCTCTCAATGAATGGATTGACTCAGGGGCTGCAACAATTGGCTCAAACAGCAAGTTTTTTGTTTTTGTTTCAAGCAGCAATAGGTTTGGTGGGGGCACAGCATCCGCAGCATTTCATTCTGGTTTTGTTATATATAAGGTCACTTGAGTCAGAATGGAGTTAGTGGTATCAAACAACAATAACTCCTCTCCAGCACCAATCTTTTAAAAATATCAATGATATTGCAATTACATATTTTACAAAAGTTTCCCCATGCTCTTCATTACCTAAATCCTAATATGGCTTTTGGTCATACAAGTAAAAATAGAAGAAATCTGAATGCAAGTCCATATTCAACCTACTTTAAATCATAAAATTAAAAAGTCCTACACAGTTCCTCTGGTTCACTCCTCCCAAATGAGTACAGGTGAACAGATGGGCAAATTTACAAAAAATCTTCAAATATATTGAGAATGCTAGAGTACAACAAGACAATTCACAGGGAGAGATTTATACCTGCATGCACACACACACACACACACACACACACACACACACACACACAAAATCCTAGAGTAATGTGCAAAGTCATTGCATCACCTTGTGGTAAAGCTTGGGAAGTGTAACTGAGAAGAGAAGTACAAACTAAGGCAGAAAGGAAATATGGTCAGTAGTACACACAAAGGGAAGTGGAAACAGCTTTATCATAACAAAATTTTGTTGTCCATTCTCTAAAGTATATCTCTAGGAACATACATTAAGTCAAAGCTAAGTTTTAAAATTCCAGCCAAGAATTAAAGGGGCAGACTCATTTACTGGGGAAACAAGGTATGTGCCATGCTGGCTTCAGTCCCTCACTTCATCCACGCTCCCTACTAAATTCTTTACAGTTCTTAGTCTATAGAATTACTTTAGGTGTGTAATGCTTTAAACTACATTCTCAAGGTTTTGGTCTAATATCCAATTTTATTATTTTAGGAATTCATCAATGGCTAAAGATAAATTATATCCAGTGGGCACCAGATTAATGAGCTCAAATAGACTTGGGTACCCAGGGAATACTGGGGGTTGCAGTTCAAAGTTATCTTTACTTCCTCCTCCTCTTGTAACTTTTAAGCCCTAAAGGTTCTCTGACTTGTGGTAGTCCCCACCCAACCCCCCTATACCCAACCCCCCTATACCCCACCCACCCCCGCGCCCCCAGTGACTCCTAATACTCATTTTACTTGATGAATCTACAACTGTGATACATCACCAATTAAAATAAAAAATATGCTGAGAACTTAAGACTTCAAAAAAATCGTGAAAAAATGAAAAATAGCATTTTCTCACAAACTTTTTGAAGATCCCTTGTACGAAATTGAATTATACTTATTAATTTAGATGTCATACTTCTAACAAAAATCAAAAGGAAATAAGCTAATTTTGTTCAAAGCAATATATTATTATGGCAGTTATTTTTTCTCATATCCTTATCAGATACTAAACTAATATGTGAAATTCTCATGTCTTCCAGTTTGCTTTAAAAATTCCATTGGTGTAGAAGATAATAAAAATAGAGCAAGATAACCAAAATAGTTCATTTTACTCTTCATTCTTTTGAGCGTGCTTGAATGAAAACTACATATGATCTACAGTAGAAACACTACATTTTAGAACATGAATATTTTGTGTTCTCTGAGTGTTGTGATTCAATAATCGCGGACATAGTAAGATTAGAAAAACTTGGACTAAAAAAATCATGAACTCTTGGGAGTCTTTGTAGTTGAACCACTAGGCTAAAAAGACTGATGGTTCCAACCCAGGAGCACCTCGAAGACAGGCCTGGTGATCTGTTTCCAAAACCCTATGGAGTGGCCATGAGTCAGAATCCATTACATGACAACAACCAAAAATTGATGAACCCTTAAAATTCTCTCCAAATTCAGTTGTGCAAGGCACACAAACAGGTGGGAAAACAAATGCCTGGTGTTTAAAAAATTTCTGATTGTTCAAAATTAGCTAAAAGACTCATCAAATGTTTTATAGCTCTCTACTACATAAAATACTATAAAAATACTATCAAAAATGTTTGTGAGAGGGCAGAAGCAAGGAGATCACATTCTTGTTTTGCTAACATCTTCATCTTCAGAACCCTTTAAAAACATGGTCACTCGTGCTTGCTTCGGCGGCACATATACTAAAAACATGGTCACTCAAAAAAATAAAAACAGGGTCACTCACACAAGTTGCACTTTCCTTTTAGGGATCTTTTGAAACTTTAAAAATGCTATATCAAAGAAAAATGCTATTATCCTCACCCACATGTATTAGTGAAAGTTGTATTTTCTTTCAAAGGCGCGTATATGACCAAAAATTAAATTAAATTAAAATAGTCAAAAGTGCAAAAGGCACAAATTTCATTCTGTAATACCCACATTCCAAAATAATGCAATCCAATAAACTATACATGTGCGAATGTTAGGATCTTTCATAAATACTTAGCAATATCTGAAAGTTCAAACCTTGAAATTCCAAAGTATTTGTTATTTTTGTTAGAGAAAGGTAGTATTACTTTGTGGTTGTAAACTGCCCCAGAGTCCACAGCGACTATGGTGACTGCTTCTACAAACCTCTGCAACCAAAATTGCAATAGTAAACAATCTAAGAAATGTGATGACTGCAAAGTAAAAATAACAGAACGTTCTTAGAAGCTTGGTGATCACTGCCCAACCACTGTATCCCGCCCCAAAAGTCATTTCTAGGGGAGCCCTGGAGGCATGGTAGGAACGTTGGGGCGGTCACCACAAGGTCACCAGTCCGAAAGCACTAGAAACTCCGCAGGTGAAAGACGACGCTCTCTACAGAGCGCCGTTCAACTCGGTCTTACCGAGAGTCGGAATTGCCTCGTTGGCAGTGAGTTTTTCAAACACGCCTTGAAGAATTCAAATCCACGCCAGATTAAGTACAGAACGATGGAGCAAGTCTGGTTTCAGCTCTTTTCTCGATAGCGAAAATGCATTCTGAAGGCAGCTAGACCACGAGGAGAACACAGCAGTAAACGGACGCACGAGCCCGTGACCAGCTCCGTAAGCTCCCACCCTGGGGCTTTGTAGCTCTCCACGCAGAGCTCCCGCCGCAACGCGCTGACCACCCGCGCGGGCGGTTGTTCAGTCAGGAAAACGGTGCCTAGGCTAAGAAAAACGCGCCTCTCCTCGGAAGACAAAGCCCCACGAGCACCAGGGAAAGGGAAAAGTTAGCGGAGCCGGCCGGCCAGGTGAACGGAGTCGGCGCGGTGCCACTCCGCCCGCAGCCCGAACGTGTGGGCGGGGCCCGGAGCCTCCGCCCCCTAATCTACCAGCCGCGCCAACCAAAACAATTCCGTTTCTCCCCTCGGCGGTGAACACGGGCGTTCTTTCCAGGTGCCACCTGACTGCTCTCCCAAGCTCGCCCACACCCGTAGCCAAGGTCGCGCCCTCCAAACAAGGAGTCCATTTTCCTCCTGGATGTCGCCCGGGACACGAACCCCTCACCCCCGCCAGAGTCCACGGCCCACACGCCTCCACGCAAGTCTCCCAGGCCCTTCCCGTGGGGAGCGGCCGCCCGCAGCTTTCCCAACTCCAGGGAACCGAAAGTGCGCCCGCTCCCCGTCCCAGGAGCAGTCCGGGTGGGAAGTCCTGTTTGCGGGAAGCCGAGCCTCGTCATCTGCCGGCACGTCCAATACGGAAAACACTCCCAACACCGGCCAGACCTCAGGGGCTGAGGGACGTGTGGCGACCCCCCCCCGGGGGGCTCCCGCCGAGGCTGGCGCTGCTGGGAGCGCCGGGCGGGGAGGGACGCTTACCTGGGGGGCGGGGGTTCCGGAGCAGAAGAGGTGCGCTAGCGACGACTCTGATCCTGAGACGCCATCAGCGGCTGACGCTCTTGAGCCGCCGCCTCCTCCGTGGCCAGAATGGTGACCCCTCCCTTCAGGGCCCTGAGCCGGAGTGCGTCACTTCCGTCTGTCAGGGCGTGACTTCCGCTTCCGCCCACCAAACCGTCTCTTCCGCTGACGCAGCTCCTCGGAGCTCTGTTGCGCGCTCCGAGCCCCGCCCCCCGGTCCGAAGTTAGCTTGTATTCCTCCGTCCCGCTGTCTTGCTGCTTTCTTCATATGAGCAAATTTTCTCTCCGAAACCCACTTCCAGCAAAACCGACCCCGGGCTTTGGGATTTTTACTTTAAACATTTTAATTACTGGGGCCTAGGAAACGAGGAAACGCGGCAAAGTGTTGCAACTCACCAATGTGGTAAAAAGGTTGCTTCCACATAAACGATCCCTATGCCATTGCCCGCATCATAAAAATCGGTTCTTGTTTTATAGATAAGGGAATGTAAATGCAAAGGAAAGCCCTGGTGGCGTCGTGATTAATCGCTTGGCTGCTAACTTAAAGGTCAGCGGTTCCGGCCCACCAGCTCCATCTAATCAGCTAAGGGGTTAACACGGTTAGGACGACAGCCCTAAAATTCAATGTTTTCTTCTGTCCAGTCTAGTCCCTTTTTTTAACAGATTTTGTACACTGTAAACCTTCAGTTACTCCGAAGAGCTTTCAATTCTCATGCTCTGTGATTCTATTTACTCTCCAGAAATGGTCACCTTCAAAATGTATTTGTTAGTTTTGCAGTATGGGTTTTACCCTGCCTTCTCTGTTAAATTGCAATCGTCATAAATAATTTTAACTCTTAGGTTTCTATAATAGCCATTAAATTTGAACCTTAACCATACGGAATCAAGTGTGTTCTGTCCAAATAGAGAGTTGCTGTAAGCACTGGTAAAATTGGTAACATCAGTGAAGAAAGGGTGATAAATTATATTAAACTTAGGCGGACCTTCTAAATACGCAGTATACAAATTCCTCTTTCATACTTTACCCTTTACTTCCACATACTTAAGATAAGCTCTTATTATTTGCTGAGTGATTTGTTAGCTGTATACTGGCATCTTTGTGCTTAGTCTGAATTTCAGAAAAATCTTTACTGATCACTTAGTCCCAACCTCCTTATTTTAAAGATGAAGAAAATGGGGTGATAAATAAAATTAGTCATGAGTGTTACTGGTGGTGATCTTCAAATAGTGGAAAAAGTTTGCCTCAAGCAATGTAAATATAGTGGTGTTCTTTAGTTAACCTATTTTGAGAAGTATCACTACTTTTTTTAATCACTACATCTTTTAATCATTTTATTAGGGTCTCATCCAACTCTTATCACAATCCATACATACATCAATTGTGTCAAGCACATTTGTATATATGTTGCCATCATTCTCAAAACACCTGCTTTCTACTTGAACCCTGTCACTACATTTTTAATCACCAATTTTCCATCAAATCAGAAAAATATGCTCATTAAAGCCATAATTTAGAAGCTTGTACAATACTTTTGCTTTAGTGTTTATTTTGTTGTCTTTAATAAGAACTTCATGAATATGTTTACCTTGTTTCTTCCCATCCACTTAATCATTCCTTGCATTTTTAAGCCATGTGTTTCCCATCAAGGTAAATATATGTCCTCACAATAGTAAATTTGATATTTTTAATGAGCCAGCTATATATACGGCAGTTATGTGTGTGACATCATGCTTGGTAAAGGGTCAGCGAAAAAGGAAACCTTCGGGAATCCAGGACAGATGACCCCCTGAAAACCAATAATGAGAGTAACAATACCAGGAGGGGAAGGGGAAGTTGCGGGAGGAAGGGGGAACTGGTCACAGTCACAGTGATCTACATATAACCCCCCTCCCTGGTGGATGTGCACCAGAAAAGTAGGTAAAGGGAGACATCTGACTGTGTAATCAAGGGTTTGTGAGGGAGAGAGGGTGGGGGTGCAGGGTGGAAAATGAGCTGATCCCAAGGGCTCCAGTAGAAAGAAAATGTTTTGAGAATGATGATGGCAACAAATGTGCAGATGTGCTTGACACAGTGTATGTATGGATGGGTTGTGATAAGAGTTGTAGGAGCCCCCAATAAGGTGATTTAAAAAAGGAAGACCTTCAACAAGGGTTGCAAAATGTCTTAAACCTAATAGCAATTATGGGGATGGCTCAGGACCAGTCACGGTTTCCTTCTGTTTTCATTGTGAGTCAGAAATGGCTCAATGGCGCCCAATATGTATGGCAGTGTACAAGGGACTGTAGGAGATACAGCTGCATATCCTTCATTGGAAACTCTGGGCCCAGACATAGTTCACAGTTTTATTGCCTGTAGTTTGTGTTATCTTACATGAGATTTGGGACAGTTCCCCATGAGCCACTTAATACTTTTTCAGGGAAAATCCTGTAAATGGTCTCACTTCAGCCCAGAGCACATTTTTCAGATCAAGTTTTTCCACAGTGCCACTATGGGTTCAGATCAGTTCAAGTGTGTTGACAAGTGATTCCGGATCAGGGCAGGTTTTGCTACCAAATATTAAAGGTTTGGAGGTTTTTTGATCTTGAAGTATGAATAAAGAATTGCCAATGTGCTCAAAACATTATTGAAAACTATCTCCCAGCAATTCCTGATTTCTCTGACATCATCACATGTTGAATCATTTCCTAGCCACGTTTTTTTTTCCTAGCCACTTTTTCTTACCTGTCTCAAATCACCTCTTCTGTCTTTTGATTGGGAAAATATGATTATACTTAACAAAACTATTTACAACTTCCACAACTATCAAAGAATAAATTTGTTGTTTGAATCCACCCAGTTTGTGGTCCTTTGGGACAGAAGCTCTAAGGAACTAATACGATTATACCTTAGACTTTATCATCTCCTGTAAGTACTCCATCTTCAAAATCAAGTATCCTTTTTATCCAACTTCTTTATTCAACTATATACCTAGTTTTATTGTTTTGTCAGACTTATCAAGATCTGTTTTGTGCTCACTCTTTTTAATATTATCTTCCTCATTAGCCAACATAAAGTAGGTAGAGTGTCATCTTGTTAGCATCATTTCTGTGGTAGTTCCATAATCTTGTCAATTCGAGACTCTTATGAGTGAAGGGGTGGAGTTTAGCCTGTCAATCAGGTCCCAGGTTGATGACCTTATTTGGAGGCTCTAAGGAGACAAATAGTTCTCTGGAGGCGGGACACTCACTCCTTCAGAGACCTTCCTACTGACAAGACACATAGAGCTATGCAAGTGCCCTGGCCCTGGAGGAGCCATGTGGAGACCCCTGCCAGCATGGAGATGCTTCCACTGCCACTGGATCCACAAGACTTTCCACCCACTGGCCTGTGATCTTCCTACATTCAGCATTGCATGGCTGCATGAGTTGAAAGAGAAATTTATGGACTGGTATTGGACATATGAGCTAATATTGGACTTACGGACTTGATCTAGACTGGGCTGGGATGTTTTCACATTATATAATTGCCCTTTTATATAAAACTCTTTCTTATATACATATGCATGTTATGAATTTCTTTCTCTAGTCTACACGGACTAACACAATTTCCAATATGCAAGCTTCTTTACTTGCAGGTAAAGTACAATTTCCTGCTGTATATCACAGATTCTGTAATTGAGTCTGGTTGAATATTAGACAAAAATCTGAAGCTATACCTGAATCTCTTGGGGTGCTCCTTGCACTATTGAAGACAGAAACTGTAATGTATCATGTTAGAGACAGCCTGAAGAGGTTTATACTTGAGTAAGACCTGTGCCCGACTTGGCTCCTAACAATGTTCTTTGTACCTTGCACAACTCAGAATTCGCTGTGATGTAAATACCATCTAACCTCTTCCTTAACTTACTGAGATGAGTTATAGCCAACATAGAACTGAAAGGATTTGTGTCCATAAGTTTCTTTCCCCATTAAATAATTCTATTCATCATTTGCACAGCAATGAAACTTGAAATGAACACAAATTAAGATAATGTTACTAAAAGAACTTTTTAAAATTTAATTCTGGAACCCTAGACTATAGCTTGAGACACCCTTCAATCCTGGAACTGAACTTACTCCTAATGGATCAACATTTAACAAAATGGTAGGATTTGCTTGTAGGACAACAGTGATTGTAGGCACTTATTATGAAGACATTTTAAGAAAATTGAAAGCAGTAACATAGGGAGATGCCACTCCTTAAACTATTTAACCATAAGAAATCAAAAAGGCAGCATGTACAGAGAAATAAAACTCAGAAAGCAGAAAGGGACAGGGGAGAAGTATGAAGGGAAATGGCAAACAGAAAAAGTGGAAAGAATGTTATGTTGTAGGGGATTCCAAGAAATACCATGAGCCAAAATGTGTGGATTGACTTGAAAATCAATTGGCTCTATAAATGTTTACCCAAATTACACTAAAAAGTGAAAACAACTGTTTAATTTTTTTCTTTTTAATGTAATAAAAAATATATAATAGAAAATCTGCTATTTTGACCATTTAAGTGCATCATTAAGTGATATTAAATATATGAATGTAAATAAAAATATATTGCTACTAGGGTTCCTGTTTATGCATGCATGGGTTTATTCTGAACAAAACATGTTTAAACATGTCTCTACAATTAATAGATAACTGCAGAGGAAATTCTCAGTAATATACTTGTTACTCTCATTAAAAAAACAAAAACAAATTTCACTGCCAGGTGGCCAACTCATAGTGACTCTAGAATAGAACTGGCTCCTGTGAGTTTCCAAAACTCTAACTCTTTAGAGGAGTAGAAAGCCCAGTCTTTCTCCTGAGGAGCTATTGCTGGGTGTGAACTGCTGATCTTGCAGTTAGCAGCCCAAAGCATAACTACCACACCACCAGGGCTCTTTACTCTTCAAAAAAATGTTCATTCAAACCAGATTTCAGGGCATCTGCTGAGCCAGTTAAATTCAAGGCAGAGATGACTGACTTGGGGAATAGAGAGGGCCAAGTAATCTTGTTAGATTTTCTTGAAAGACAACAGATGATTGTGGGAGTTTAGATGTGAAGATGTTTTATGAAAAT